AAAAACTACAATTTAACAAATTAAAAGTTTTGAAGTCTGATAAAAACATGTTTACCCTTTCTAAATTCAAGTAATGTGTTGTTTTTATTTTCTAATCCATGGGGCATTCATTCACAATGCAGTTTTATGCAGAGTTTTTGTTTTTGTTTTTTGTTTTTGTTTTTTCTTTTTGACTGCAAATTTACAAAAAACTGGAGCTCAAAAGACAGCTGAAGTTTCACTTTAAACATTTAATAATTTAGTTTTCCTTAAATGATACCAAGCTTTCTTAGATTTAGCTAATGTACCAAGAAATTTTCTAAGAAGTAATGGACAAATAAACCTAATTTAACTAGGGATCTAATGTCAAAGAGACTTAACAAAAAAAGAGTGGATGGTTGTGTAGACAGTGTATATATCTCCTTTCTTTTATGAAATAACTCGACTGGATCTTTGTTTTTTTATGGTCTGCACTATGTAACTCTAGGGTTTTGATGGCAGGTATCAAAGTATCCGCAGAACAATGACTAATGAAAGACCTGAAGAACATACTAATGCCATTGATGGAGCTGGAGAGGACACAGACTTCCACCAGTCCAATGCAGGTTAGAGTCAATTGCAATGTTGAATCTTAGCAAGGTGAGGAATCATCTGGGCATAATGATTCCTGATAGAGTATAATTTATTTATTGGGCAAATAAATTCTCATTTTCAGTGTATGACATGGATCATAAGAACAGCGACAAAATGGTAAAGCTATAGTTGATGAATTTTCTGAACTTTCTGTGGGGATTATGAAAGTAAAGTTTAGGAAATAGGCCACATAATCCCAAATGACATGTTTACCTTTGGCTTTGATCTGGATGGTTGGGAAAGAAAAATTTACTCATTTAAAAAACTTACTAGTTGCAAAAGATGAAACTGTTTTATTTTGATATTATCAAGTACAATTAGGATTTAGTATATTAATTTAGATCAAAGGCAAGCCTTTTTGAGGGCATAAAAGTTTCTGTTTAAGTCCAAGTGCACTTAACGAAATGCCAGATATTCTTTGCTTTTTACTTCATGCTTCAGATCAAAGGGAACAGAACTAGTCCAACTGCGTAAGAGGGTTCTCTTGAAAGGTTTTATTTGTTCCTAATAGATTTTCGACGGGAGAATGTGCTGCCCCACTCTACCTCCAGGTCCAGGCTGACGTTACTGTTACAGTCTCCTCCCGTGAAATTTCTCATAAGCCCAGAGTTCTTCACCGTGCTGCATTCTAACCCTGTGAGTATTCCCTTTTGCCCTGGGTTCAAATCTGGATGGATATGATGAATAGGAATTAGAGACCAAGAGTGTGGGGGAAGGAGAAGGGATTGTTATGTATCTGCATTCAGATTTTTTTTTTCCCTGAGCCTTGCTAAGTGACTGTATTGACCTTTGGATGGAAAGAGATAAGCTTTGTTTTATATTGAAGAAAATTGTAACCCATTGAAGAAAGACAAAATTAAAGCATTTAAAGGCAAGTCAAGTTTGGAAAGGATGTAGGGGGAACGTATGAGAAGGGGTTGAACCATTTCATATTGCAGAAGTACTGGATCTGAGGTCTGATTTTGAAGCCTAACTGCCATGCTTATGAGCTGGGTGGTTTCAGGCAGGTCATTTCACTTTTTCATTTGTAAAACGAGGGGATTGAATCAGATAAGAGGTTCCTAACCTGGTGTCCCTGAATTTGGTTTTTTAAAAAATATATATTTTAATAACTATTTCAATATAATTGGTTTCTTTTGTGCTCTTATGTATTTAATTTTATGCATTTAAGACTATGAGTTTTGAGAAGAGACTCATGGGCTTCCCTATAGTGCCAAATGGGCCCATGACACATAGGAAAAAAGAAATGCTCGTGAACTCCTAGAATAGGTGACTTCTTAGACTCCTTCCAGCTCTGACTCCAATTTTGATCCTAGTCTTGATCCCACACTTAGGATCTGGACCTTCCCTTATGCTTTCCTTTGTCCTTACAATCTGCCAAATGTTGGTAAAAGATTCTAGCATCCATAAGAGTGAGGGCCGTGTCTGAGGCTGGATTTGAACTTAGGTCTTCCTGACTCCCAGTCTAACACTCTATCCACTGAGCCACTTAGATGTCCCTAATCTAATCAGGTTATAAAGGGCTTTAAATGCCAATCAAAGGAATTTTTATTTTATCCTAGAGGTAATAGGGAGCCTGTTTGTTGAACAGGGGATAACATAGTAATACCTGTGTTTGGCAGCTATGTAGTACATAGCTTGGAGAGATGAGAGACTAGAGACAGGGAGACCAACCAATTAGGAAGCAATTGCAGTATTTTAGACAAGAGGTGATAAAGACCTGAAATAATGTGGTAGCCATATGAGTGTAGAGAAGGGACCAGATGTGAGACTAAGTAAGGCATACAAGCAATGATTAATGTAATTAGACCTTCTGGAGGGCTGAATTCAAGAGTAAGGAGCCACTGAGTGGCATCAATTGATAAAGTGATTGAAATGTATAGTTGAAGTATTTAGATAAGATCTAATAGGCTATGGGGAAACATTATAGGTTCTTGAGAAAATACTATTTCATGCTCCTTGAAGTGTGGGAAAGAATAGACATATGGGAGTCCAGCTTGAAAGCTACAGAGGCAATCTAATGTCAATATGAGTTCCTTCAATATGAGGGAAGTCCTGGGCTAGAAGTAATGGATGTGGAAAGAGAAGGGTCCAATGGGAGAAACCTTGTGGAGGAAGAGTTGATGTGACTTGTTGACTAGATGGACATGGGAGTGGGTTGCAGCAAAATGTTTCTCCTCGGGGTTGGGATAATGATGGTCTCTTTAACAATAATGGGGCAGGTTGGGAAGGAGAGGCAGTTTTGTAGAGGGAAGGAGAGATAGTCTAATATGTTTGAAATAAGACACAAGCACATTAGTACCATATTAGGCCTGCCCTGGACTGGAACTGCAAAGCATGCTCATTTGGGGAGATTATGGAATCATTCCCATAGGGATAAAGTCAGAGTGGAGCATAGGGAATTTAAAAGCGAAAGACCCAATGATTCAAACCACATGACTTTCCCTCACTCTTAATGGATGCTAGAATGACCTGGAATCTTTTACCAACATTTGGCAGATTGTAAGGACAAAGGAAAGCGTGAGGGAGGGTCCATGAACAGCAAAGCTCTCGGGAGTCATGGCAACAAGGAGGCACTAAGTCAGAACCAAGAGAGAGTCAGGACCTGTGGTTCCCAAGCTGAACTGAAGGCTGTAGTAAGCCCAATTCTGGTGACAAGGTAAAATGATTCCTAGACTGGGAATATGCTACAATTTCTGTAGCGAGGGGGCAAGTGAGTTTCTCAAGCTGTGGCGTATTGGGTTTGGGGGATTCAGTCTTTTGGTTAAGTAAACAGTTGAACCAAATTTATTGTTGTACCTCATTGATTTTTAAAAGTTTAGCTATGGTTGTGCCACTTTGGTGAAATATTTATTCTATCTGTAAGTGGAGATTTAACTAATTATAGGACATAATGAAGAAGAGTAATTTTTCTAAAGTAAAATGAAGCTAGACCTGATAACTAATCCACACACAAGAGCCCTTGTTGTTCAGTCATTTCAGTTGTGTCTGACTCTTCCTGACCCCAGTTGGGGTTTTCTGGACAAAGATACTGGTGTGGTTTGCCATTTCCTTCTCCAGTTCATTTTACAGATGAGGAAACTAAGGCAAATAAGGTGAAGTGAACCGCCCAGGTCACAAAGCTAGTAAGTGTCTGAGGCCAGATTTGAACTCAGAAAGATGAGTCTTCCTGATTTCAGGCCCAGCACTCTTTCTACTATGTCACCTAGCTGCCCCATAAAAGTCTTGGACCACTGAAAAAGGGTATTATCGGGACCAAGGGGAAGGGGAATGAGGTAGCTAACTCTCTGATAGCCAGAAGCAGCTGGGCAGTATAGGGGATAGAGTACTACAGCTGCAGTCAGGAAGGTCTGGGTCTAAATATGACTTCAGACATTTAATAGTTATGTAATCCTAGACAAGTCACTTCACCTCTGTTTGCCTCAGTTTTCTCAACTATGAAATAGGGATAATAACACCACCTGGGTTTCTATGAGGACCAAATGAGATGACATTTGTAAAGCACTTAACGCAGTACCTGGTACACAGTCAGGTGGTAGTAGAAGTGCCCACAACATCTGGGGGCTCATCCAGGACACCATATCCAGGCCCACTAGGCTAAATGTGGCCTGATCACATTGCTTACTCAGGATCTGAAGTCCTGATCAAATTCAGTCTGTCCCTATAACCTTCACATGCATATAAAATGTTATGGGCCACACCAGACATAAATCTAGTTTCCAGAGGCCCAGGTAATAACCACAGCTTTGTAATTGGGCCCATCTCTTTCACCTTCAAAGCACTCTGCTCTGGACTCACAACATTGGGGAATACCCTTTATATCCCATAGATGACCTTCTGCAGGGATGCTCCAAGACCAGGTTATATCTGTTACAGAAAGGCTAAAGATAGGTATCAAGAGAAAAGATGTCAACATGATTCTGATATCAGGAGGAGTCAGTATTGCACTTCATTATGTAAACATTTATTAAGGTCAGGAGGAAGTGATCTTATTTTCAGCATAAATTTCAGCAACTTTCAGCATAAATATTGACCTTACTTTTTTGATCATATCATCTAGTGAAATGGAGTAAGAAGACCTGGATTTAAATTTTGGCACTGTTGCTTAGTGCCCTATGACCTCTGCTGAGTGAGTTAACCTTGTTAAACCTCTCTTTCTTCATCTATAAACTGAAGGGCTTAGATTGGATGACCTCTGAGGCCCCATTCATCTATGATCATCTGCCTATGAACGTGTAACATATATTCAGCTTTTCAACAGTTTATATACTTTTCATCTCCTCATATAATTTGTAAAAGCAAGCCACTTGCCAAAGATTTCATTTGCAGCTCCTCCAGCTTAGTTGTCCCTTCTTGATTTCATAAGGTCTCTTTTCAAAGGGGCCTTTTTAGTTGTTACTTATTCTCCATATGAGATCACGAGCTTTCTCTGCTACTAAGTCCTGTATGATTAAAATTTTGTCTGGGTTAGGAAGGTTTCTCACTTTCTGTGTGTAGCTGGCAATGGAAATTACCTTGAGTGTTTTTGCTAATGTTCCCAGGATTTTTCACAGGGGAAAACCCCCTCCTTTTCTTGGATTAACAAAAGATGATGTAGAACAAAGTGATAGGATTTAACCTGGTGTTTTTTGAATCCTTTTTTTTCCTGTATTACTAGTGCTTTGCTTACGTTTTTTTCACAGTGTTTGATGGTTTCATAAAGAATAATTCTATCCCATTTTAATGTATTAATTCTAAAGCATCCTTAAATTATGTTTCTCTGATTGATAAATTGCCTCTGTTTGTATGCAGTTGTACATGCCATGGCCTTCTGCTGGTTATAATCAAAACTTCCTGCAAAATGTGTGGAGGGTGGAGTTACATTACATTCTTATATTTTGAAATCTGCTTGTTGATGATGACATGTATATACATTTGATTATAGGTATTCATAAGAAATATTTTCAGTGTTCAAGACAGAATGGTGCAAGGCAAAGTAATGATTATTTTGGCTTTTAATGAGCTTTAGAAATATATTGATTGCAACATCAAGGCTGCCCTTAAGACTTTATGGAGGAGGAAAAATATTTACTTTTCTAAAATCCCATGTATACTCTTCTAAATATATGTCAATCATAATTTGCAACTTAGATGAATAGACAATCAATAGTCAGGTATGTGAAGAAGTGAATTTTTTCTTCCCTGATACTAGTGAACTGGGTAAAATTTCAATGTAAAATACTGTTTTTATGCCATTATTATTTATTATTATTATGCCAAAAATGCCATTATTAAAAAAGGTCTGTATAGCAAAGCTGTTTCTAGGTTCTGGCACATGACAATATTTCATTGACTTAGTTACCTGTTTAAGTTTGTAAAGTATAGCACTAGGCACTGAAAGACATACAAAGTTTTGATCAGACAGTTCTGCCCTCTTCGTACTTATAATTTAGGAAAGGGATAGGACAATAAATAAAAATAATACAACAAGTTGTGAGTATGCAATCTACTTATTCATTAGATTAAAAGTCAGGCTCTAACTCCTCTGTGTCCCTTTCTGCAAAGGAATTATCTAGGAAAAAGTATTATCTAGAACCTTAGAAAAGTATTATCTGGACCCCAACCTAGGGTTCTATTATATTAATGCAGCAGTTCTT